AAGACAGACCTTCTGCGCTTTTGCGATTTTGCCGCCGCGGGAGCGATCGTGAAGCGAGCAAGCAAAGCGGCAGACCTCAGGGGCACCCAACGGCAATTTTCGGGAAAATATCTGTTCGGAAGACGATTTAAGATCTAGAATTTTCGGAGCGTTTGTTATAAAATTTCTTGCTTGCCTGCCTCTCCTAGGATTTTCGAACATATACAAAATGGTATAATTACCCATTTTTAACGGATTTTGACCCTAAAAAAGGCCACCTAGAATTTTCGGGAGCCTTTTCCTGGCTGAAGTTTTCGAGAAGGTAAGTTTTTATCCCTACAATTTTCGGATCACTAGACTTTCAGCTAGGAAATCCGAACAGATGAAAAGTTTTTAGGGGATACAAATATGCCTATATCTACCGTTTGAATACTCAAATACGTTCAACAATGCTATGTTAAGTGGTTTTGAACTATATCCTCGTTGGGTGCCCCTGAGACCTAATCTGTACTGAATCCTTGCCCTGAGTCATCTTGAAACGGTCAGCATTAGATCCCATTGACCGGAGCCCATTTCTCCACATATGAAATTTACACAAGGTACAACTTCTTTCTACTTTTATATCACACTTAGACGATATTTCAAGCTGGAAATTTTCGTGAAAGTGCTAGTCTCTTCAATTTAAAATTAAAAAAAAAAAATGATTATGATAGACAGTAGGATCCGAGCCCACGACCTAGAAGACCCAGTATGCTATGCTAACCGCTAGAACACTCAGGATTTGTAGGAAGGAGGGGAAATAATTTAAGTACATATAGCACCAACCCCAACCCTAAAAAAGAAACATAACTAGTTTCGAAACAGTGCTTAAACCTAATCAGTAAAGGCAGTGATTAACCCTAATCTATAAAAGGCAGTGACTAACCCTAATTACTAAAGGGGAAAATAACATGAGGTGTCCGAAGGGGCTACGGTCGATGGCATCTAATAATAACCTCTGGAAACGTCAAAATAGCACCTTGTCGTCTCAATACACCACGCTCAGCGTGTTTCATACCGTTCCTTGTGTCAGCGAAAACGTGGTTTATGCCATCAAATGCCGAATGATATTCAAACGCAGAATGATATTCACCTACCGGACACTAGACCCAGCTGGATTGAATATGGACTTTAATTTTATTTTGAACCTCTCAAAGTCTGCTCGTTCATGTTTAGTTACTTCTTTGTTTTGAAATTTTATTTGGAAGTTACCTTTTGCGTGCACTTTTCAGTTGATTTAAAACATGCACAGCGTTTCATACCGTTCCTTGTGTCATCGAAAAAGTGGTTTATGCCATCAAATGCCGAATGATATTCAAGTGCAGAATGGTATTCACCTACCGGACACTAGAGCCAGCTGGACTGAATATGGACTTTAATTTTATTTGAACCTCTCAAAGTCTGGTCGTTCATGTTTAGTTACGTCTTATTTTCAGTTGATTTTAACGAATATCTGCGTTGCACAGTTTCTTCAAAACTGTTGTAACACTTCAGTGCGACTTGGAGGCGAGGGAAGATCCTTTTCTTCAAGATTAGTCTTTTTTTTTTTTTAATATTTCATAGAACAAATTAGCTGTGCTGTGCTGTGAATGTTTATCTCCAATTTTGATCTAGACACGTTAGGTTTCTTTTATTTATCTATTTATTCATTTATTGATTTAACGCGGTGCACATGCTGAAAGAAAGAATTACGAAATCCTTTTGCTTGCTTGCGTTCATCTCCTGGTTCTGTGGGTGCTGGTAGTTTCTTGCTCAACTGACTGCTGGGAAAATTCATCATTTGTCACTGGATCCTCGACCACAGGTTTCTGAGGTGGGGCAGTCCTTTTCCCACTGCTGTTAAGGTCAAGATACCCTAAGCCTCTTCATCTGAACTGATTTCTGAGGCTGGGCTGGGGTGGACAAAACAGCTGGTCTGGTAATCTTCCTTTTTGTGCTTCGGTCTCCTGGCTGGATCCTCTGTCTTTCTTTCAAAGGTAAAGTCATTGCATGGAAGTATCAGACTGCTGTGTATCACACGATGTAGTCCTTCGCCTGATACAGGTTCAACTTCGTAAATGGGCTTTCTTCGTCATTTCCGATTGATTAATCGATAAATTGCCCCTTCCCAGTAAGATCACGTTTTTCCAGATCTTCCTCTTTCACGTACGTTTCTTACTGACTCTGTCACCTGGCCCTAGAACAGGACTGTGGTCTTTATCCTCATAATTCTTTCCTGTCCTCTATTTGCTGCTAACTCGTGAGCCTCTTTCATGGCTGTTTTCCATTCTCTGTCATGAGCTAAATATTCTGTCGGAGAAGCAGGCTTAAATTTAAAATACGATCTATCGGAAGTCTTGGGGACTGACCACTCAACAGGTAATGATGACAGAATCCAGTGGCCTCATGACAGGTGCAATAATAGGCATGTATAACTTTATTAAGACTGTCCTTCCACCGAGATTTCTGGCGAGGTGCGTAATATGGATAGAAGTGTCTGGTTGAGCCTCTCTTTTTTCCCCTTTCCCTTGGGATGGTAGGGTATTGTTCTGGATTGCACCAGACCACAGCATTCTTCTAAACGATGGAAAAGCTGATTTGCAAATTCATCTGCGTGGTCGTGCTAAATTCTGACAGGAAACCCAAACCTTAATATAAATTAATTCTTATTGGCTGTTGTCCTAGGTGACTTGTGGGTGGTCGCATATCAAGGGGTGATCCCTGCATCTTTGCTTTTGAAAATTTTGACTTTCGCCCGTTGCTCTCCGACGTTGAATGGCATTTTATTTCAGGCTCCTTAAAAATATCATAGAGAGGCTTTACAATCCTTGAAAAATGCTCAATATATCTGCGATAGTAACTCAACAGACCTGTTAACTTATTAGAACGTCTCGAACAGTCTTTGGATTAGACTGTTAGTTTGGTGACAGCTTGAGTGTTTCTATGATCAATGGTGTGCCCTAACTGGTTGGCAATTCTTCACACGGACCATACTTCATATGCAACTGGTGAGGAGTAGCAAGCATGTAATCAAGTCTTCAACGTAATGCTTTGACTTCGGCATACATCGGGCGGGGTATAGAAGTATACGTCGTCTGAACTGGAGAGGTGTCTGACAGTTCTAAATTCAATTGCAGTCCCTCAATACATCCCACATCATCATCATCATTCTGAGCAAATGATTCGGTTGCTCAGTCATCATTTCATCGCCATTTTTGCTGGCTTTCATTAAGGTCACCTCGCTTCTCTTGTGGCGCCCTTTAAGATTTCTCGTCTCTCTTTTGGTCATTACTAATGTCACCAACATGACTCTCCTGCGAACATTTTTCTGAACACTGCTCATTCTCTGTTAGATTGGTAACTTTCTCACTCTGGCATGTACCTTTCCTAACCACTTACAAAGGCGTAACTGATGTAATTAGTTGTAAATTTCCCAGAGGTGTCTGTCGACCAAGAACTACATTACGTTTGATGGGCTACGAACTGGCAAGGTGAGCAGTTGCTCTGAGACTTCTAATTAAACAGGCTAGGTTTCATCTGGGGTTGTCATCTTCTTCTCTCTAGTGGGCCACAACTGACATAACATGGTACCCCTACCTTCTGTCCCGCTGGTACTGTTAGACTGTTTATATACCACTTCTCAAAAACACAAGCCTTCTTCATTTGACCTTGCACAAACTCCACCAATGGACTAACACTCTTCACATTCACATCCACCAAAGCAAAATTCATAATGTCAAAAATTGCTCCCTTGCTTCCTCCTTGTCACTTATTCCTGATCGTCTCTTCTATAACATTGTAACCATGAATGATTGGGTACACTAGCTCGTCTCTTGTAACCAGGATCTGTACCTTTAGGAGTATAGACGTTTGAACGTAAGAGGTAAGATGGAATTCTACTTCCGCCCGTCCTATGAAAGGTATTACTCCACCATTTGCTGCTTTTAAGTCCAGTCCTTCGCCCTTCGTAACATCTTTTCAATCTTCTTTAACTCTAATCATGGTAGATGCTCACTAAACCAGCTCTTTGATACTATGGACACCTGAGTCCCTTTATCCCACAATACCAAAACCTACTTATAAAATACCTCAACAGTCACCCCCACTCAACATACACAACACTTTACAATTCATACCAACAAGCCTGGCTACTGTTAACTGCTGTGTAGGTGTAAGATGACTGAAAAATACACAACCATCACCACGTATTACTTGAGAAGCTTTCTCTGCCTTTAGTTGCTGGATGGCTTGACAAAGACACTTTTGACTGCTGCAATGGCGTTTCTGACATGACGTCCACAATACTGCACTAGCTTGCATCCTGAGCACTGCATAAAAAACATTGACCAGGCTTAGCGACTTTCTGACAATTCAAGCATTTGTGGGACTTACTGAACGTGTCCTTAGGTGAGGCTACTGATTTCCTTCGGTTGTAGCCCTCGTCTGTTTCCTTGACCTGATTTCTCACTGCTACTATACCTTTTTACGACAGCCACGAGCCCATAAGTGATCACTGCTACCACAAACATGACAATGGTAACACAACTTCTCTCTCCCTCCTGCTTGACAACTGGGACAGCTTATTGGTCGTTGGTGAAAACCCCTTCCTGCATTAGCTTGATTCCTTTTCACAGATTCCAGCTTCAGGGTGGCGAGCAGCTTGTGGTGCAGACATGAACTTCTCTTTCCTGGACCTGTCCTTCTCAGCTACTTTCACCTTTAGGTCAGTCGCTTCCGGTTGAGCAACCCCCTCTACTCATGATACATCGACCTCATTAACCGTGGAACTTTCTTGACGGGCAGGGGATCCTAACTTGGATCTCCTCTCCATATCCTATGACACCACGACATTCATGAGCCTGATTAAGTCTTCATCCTCTACCCCCCTGTTTTGTAAAAAAAAGAGCCTTCATCTACTGCAGATTGAATCCTACAAAAGATTTGTATCTACTGCAAGCAAAAATATCCCTGAACCAGGTTAGAGTAGCACCTAAGTGCAGCGTCTACTTTGAGACAAAAAGGATCTTTTGTCTAGAGTCCAAAGTTCTGATAGGAAAGTTTTGTGGATTCCCCTGTAGCTCCTGTAAATTTTTTTGTTAGAATCGCATAATTAAGTAAAATCTCGCATTCTGATTGGTTAACGAAGCGAGGTATTTAGTGTGGAATTGCGAGTTGAAAACGAGGCTAAAAAGCGATATTGTTTCGCATCTACGTAACAACTATCGTCAAATTCTAACACAACAACATGCAAAAAGGTTTTCTACAATGTCATTTTAAAATGTTTTCAAAACCATTCATTGTTACTTTTTGAAGAGTTAAAAACAAACAAAAGCGTTTTTAAAGTGAGCCGGAGGTTCTTCCTTGTTTTGAACTGAACTACAGATTCTCGAAGAGACATAAAACCTCTTTCACTCGCGACAACCAGAAAACAAGAAAATCCAGTGAACACGGCCCAGAAAATGGCAATCCAAAGTTCAACTAAACAAAACGGAGAAGCGACAACGGAGGAAGTGCCGGGGTCGATTGTCCCATATACAGAAGAAGAAATAAATACCTTCAAAGAGGACATGGCCCCTGAAAACACGAAAAAGAGTACGCCGCTTGCAATCGTCCTGAATCGTGGTACTTAGAAAAGTACAAAACAGAGCTGAACTTGAACAGCATTTCTAAAACATTTCAAGGTACTTACCTTATGTCAATCGCGACGTTAAACATGTTAAACTTTCAGTGCTTTCGCTTGGACACTTGATTTCTTTCAGTTTTGCCGCCGAAGAGGTAAAAGGTGCAAATTATTTTCCTTCTCGAGCAAATGACCAATTTGAAAAAAGACGTTCTACATAAACGGCTTCTAAATTCAGTAAAATACCTCTATTTATCCTTACGATTAGTGTGAAGCTTGTTTACATGTAAAAAAGTTTGAAAACAAATGTGACAACAAGCACAAGGTACAAAAAAGGTTATTGAAGGTTCAAACGTGTACGACTGACCTTACTTCCTATTCGCTAACGTAATGACAGTTCTGACAGTTGACTTTGAAATGGCTTTCTGGAGCGCGCGCTCAGGATAAAAACAAACAATAGATATTATTGCTGTTTTCTTTTTTTTCTTCTGATTTTTATTCAATTATGCGATTCAAGGAAAATTCATTACCTGACTCGAGAATTCCACGTTAAATTGCACTTGAAAACCGATATCGCACTCATCGCTTCGCGATTCGTGCGATATCGGTTTTCGCGTGCAATTTAACGTGGAATTCCCTCGTCAGGTAATGAATTTTCCTATAAAATTCAGTTGCACTCTTCTCCTGGTAATGAGATCTCAAGAGGCGTCTTAACCAAGACAGAGTCAAGTCTCCCAGCCCTTCTAAATAACTTTTCAGTCTCATCCCAGGGTTAATGGCCACAAAACAGCATTTACAACTTCGGAGGACTTTATCCACTTTGTTTTTCGCTCCTTCAATTTGTCTTGCGAGGCTCACAAAGCTTAGTTTTTCTTTCTGTCCAAGCTCCCTTATCTGGCCAATTATTTTCAGCTCCGTTTTGAAATCACTAGGCTCGAACTAAAACGATGTTCCGGCTTCCAGCTTCTGTTTACTCTCTTCACACTTTTGCTTACTATCGTTTAACTCGTGCTTACCATTTTTCGGCGGTGACTGAGAATTGCCTAATGCTGGCTTTTCCAGTGACAGACGTTTCGGGCTGTATATCACAATTTGGGTCTTACACTCCTTCAAGTGCTCTATTTTGTCCTCGGTAGTACCTTGTAATTTCAACTGATCTTTCAGTCGCAGTTCGATTAATGTTACCCTTTTTTTCCGACCTTTTCCCCCTCCACTTCGCTTTGGCTACATCCTAAATCTTTAGCAATTACTTTGAGGTCCTCCACACCAAGCTGGCAAAGGTAGCTTTGAACTTGCATATATTTGTGCATCATCGACCTCCATTGTTTGCTTCGTTTGATCAAAACACTACCCCCCCATATATATAAGAAATGACAATCCTCCCAGCAGATGGGCGATATGCAGTTAAGTTTGGAATGAGGGATCAGCAGAAATGCACATTCCTGCAAAAAGCTGACAGTTGTCTCCTCGGGTTGTGGGTGGAATGCAGGGTGGAAAATGTACCCTATATGTTGGTGGATTCTTCCATTGTCAGGTAGTATCGGACCACCATGAAAACCCTTACCTAAACGTTGAGACAATAGTATATCACAAGGAGAATAAAAACAACGCTGTTAAGAGGCCCTGCGCCTAAGAAACGACCGATGATTTCCGGCTAAAAAATAAAATCGGCCGATTTTTATCTCCCAAGTAGAGGTTACCGAATACTATTCAAAAATGAATTTCTTTTGTTTCAGTTTCGCTTTAAACCAAAAATATCGCGCCGCAAACTTTTTCCGTCTGATAGCAGCAAAATCAGGCCTAAAATAAGCCCTCGCAAAAAACGGTTCAGAAATCACTATCGCAACGCAAAATAGCGAGAAAACCACCCAGTGATGAAGAAAAAGGCCTTTTAATGCAATATCATTCGATAAACATCGAAAAACTGCCGAAGGGAATAAAAAATAAATTTTCAAATATTACATATTAAATTAGATGGAGTGTTGGAGCTGATTTTAAAATAATTATTTCTCAAAAGTCCAACGGTGTTGAAAGCAATCACAGTGATGAATCAGACATTGGAGGGATATACATTACGATTCTGGAAAAATATTTTTCGGCCATAGTATATTGACGTTGTACAAAGCGTTCAAAGTTGCAGTGTTTACCGTTATCTTGCTACTTCGGCGAAACACTTCTGTGTTGGAAATACGTGGATAGCGTGGTAAACGCCACTTTAATCCCTGCTAGGCGCTCAGAGACCATCCTAAGTAGAAGGACGTAGAATTAAAAAAGAGAAAGGAAGATAAAAATAGGCAGAAAAAGAAAAGAACTCGAAATTACCATCTGCTGACGAAACTTGAATCTGGAAAATGTCGTCGTGACAGCGGCCAATGACGTCTTTGTCAAAACTGCGGCGGAATCTAAACGAATGCACAACTTTTTCCCGGCCAGAAAGCACTTAGTGAAACAATGTTACAGTAATGTTATTTTTCACAAGCGATGGTGACTTAAAAGAAAAAATTCCCGAACCGCCACGCCGTTTTGTCCTCAGTGTGATCTGATCGTTGTGGGGTTACGAGTCGACGCTTCTGGCCAGCGGTCTATTGAAAGAAATCTGATCCCATGGCTCTTTTTTTTTGGGCGAGAATCATTCATGTCAATGTCCAATGTCTTCCTTCTAGGAAAAAAAGAGAGAGATATTGGAGTACTGTTGCTCCCGAGAACGAGGAACATCTTGGTCCCGAAAACTGAGTTCATTACGCCCAAGAATTACGGTTTTTTTTCTCAAAGAACTAGTATCTGGCGCTATAAAATGTAGCTAACAGATTCAATTCTTGGCACAATGATGAGCCTCGCGTTTAGTATTTTCTTGGACATGAAAATATCGGGGGTGACGCTATTCGGTGGAATGGCGGACTGACGGAATGACGGAACGGAAAGATGGAATACATGGAATATTCTAAAATACGGAATATACGGAATACTCTAAAACGCAGAATAAGAGAAAAATCGTTTAAAAAGGGTATACATGTATAGAGTCGACTCCAATAACTCGAACCCTTGCTACTGACTCTTCAGATCGTTTCTATATAATTTTACCCTCATTAACTCGAACCATGTTTTAAGCGCGTGACAAGTAAAAGAATTGACTTACCGTAATGATTCGATTTAGCGCCCTGGAGCTTATTTGCCTTTGGTGCCTCTAGGGAGGACGCTTATTCGGGACAGGGCGCTTATTTCTTTTTTGAGAAACAACCAAATGTTAAAAAAAGAACTTTGATATTTATTTAAAAACGAACAACATTTGAAACTGTAGCAGTAACAAATACTGACGGTGAATGCTCAGTTAACGCCAGGGACTTACCTTGAAACTTCTTGGGCACTTTGTCGATGGAACTTTCCTTCCTTATATTCACCTGTCTTAAAAAAAAAGCAGTCAAAACAAAGTGCAAGTCGATTAAGGTAATGGATCAAGGAGACTGGAAAACGGACTTGTTGTCCCTGGATCCGTCCTCGCCAGAACGACCAGCCGAGCAATCTCTACAAAATTTGAAGAAGAGATCATTCCTTTGAAGACTTTGAAGACTCTGAAAATCTAAAAGTGTTACCGGACAAATTTAGGCACAGGTGTGGCCCCATTAATTGGTAGTACAATCCTGTCAAGCTGAAGTTTACAATTCTCTTTTTTTTAGAACAGCCGTTTTATGAAAGTTATCCGACATTAGATTCCCGTGATACCGGACCCTTCACCCGTCAAGATGGCTTTCAAAACCGTCATAAGGTCTATAGTGTGGCTTACGGCAGTACAAAATTGAATTTTTAATATTGCCTCGGCTTTTCGTCAGTCCAGCTCAAATCAAATACAGAATATTCTGTAAATTCCGTGTTTTAGCGTATTACGTATATTCCGTATTTTACAACTGATTGCATGTATTCTGCCATTGCGCCGAATAGGGTCACCCAAATATTGGGGAGCACATCATAAAAAAATGTAGGAGACCGGTAAGACTTTTAAATCGATGAAAGTGCCTTACTCATTTTGCAACTTCATTTTACAATATGCTTCATAATTTGTTTCCACAATAACATCTATGATATTTAGATGATAACCAATATGCACAACGCACAACTTGTCACATTACCGATTGGACAGCATACTATGCACTCAAACTCTTGCGCACGAAAGTTACAGAATAAAATTATTTTTTGCTGCACTCAGTCACATTCCTTTACACTGAAACCTTGGCTAAAGGTCTCTTTTAGATCTGTAGATTTGTCTACATGTCTTTCAACACTAACATTGAAAGATGAAAGTTTGTGGCTGTGATAATTATGACAAAGATTGTAAACATCAAGTATAATTGGATGTTTTAAGCCCAAATATTCTATCACCTCTTCAACAGCATGGAGGGGGAAATGGGGGCTTACGGTATTGAGCTTTTTTTCAAGAGGTATTTCGGTAATTTGGATTTTAAAGTGAGGTATTGCGGTATCATTTAGCCATGCGGTATGCGGTATTTCAGCCTTTTGGTTAACGGTATCCGATAAAAGAAGATACCGGTATTGCGGTACTGTTCATTGCGCTATCCTGTTTAATGCTAGCCTGCGTAGCAGGCGCTTGGATGACCCCTCGCGAGTCTCCCTCGCGCGCGCCCGTTCTCTCTCGTGCCCACTACTTCCAAGCGCCTGCTACGCAAGCTAGTTTAATGCACGTCAGTATTTTTAAGACTTTTAGATTAATGGTAAATGATTACCATTACACAATTTCTGACAGATAAGGTAGGGTATCTTTTCGTTCGTTGTACCGATCAATTCGAGGTCGTCTCACGTTTCCTCGCAAAATTAAATTAAATTAATCAAATACCGCAATACCGTGAGAGAAATTGGTAAATAACGAAATACCGTGTCAAAAATCGACGAAATACCGATACCGCATTTATTTTCGGTTTTTGGTACCTACCAATGTCCCCATAGCATGGCGTTGCTCTCCAACTTCGTCACCTTTCTTCAGGTCCGCTGACCCCTTACACGCGCTGACCCGTAACGTCCGTTGGAATGTATGTAACGAAATACAAGCAGCCCACATTCAAAGTACTTGGAGACTAGCTGAGGCTGAATTCATCATCATTAATAGGAAAACATAAAACTGTTTCACTTCACGATTTCTGGTGATAGAAAGATTGTTTTATTTTTTTACTTATATTTCACGTATTTGTTTGGATCCCGCTGCAGTTCGGACAAATGAACGCTGTCACGCGACAACATTTCCAAGATTCAACTCTCCTTAGCAGATGGTAATTTCGGGTTATTCTCTTTTTGCGAATCTTTCATTTTCCTTTCTCTTTTAACTCTATATACTTCTATCTAGGATGGTTTTAAGCGCCTAGCAAGGCTTAAAGTGGCGTTTACCACGCTATCCTCGGCCATATTGGCAACAGAGAAGTGTTTCGCCGAAGTGGCAACAACGGTAAATAAGGTAACTTTGAACGGTTTTTTTTAACGTCAGTATACTTTGGCCGAAAAAAATGTTTTCCAGAATCGTAATGTATATCCCTCCAATGTCTGATTCATCACTGTAATTGCTTTCAGCAGCGTTGGACTTTTGAGAAATTATTATTTTAAAATCAACTCCAACGCTCTATCTAATTTAATATGTAATATTTGAAAATTTATTTTTTATTCCCTTCGGCAGTTTTTCGATGTTTATCGAATGATATTGCATTAAAAGGCCTTTTTCTTCATCACTGTGTGGTTTTCTCGTTGTTTTGCGTTGCGATAGTGAT